CAGTACAGTACAGTACAGTATGAAGAGAGAGAACACTAACCTTGCTTGAGGCGTGGAGGACAGGAAGGCAGGTGGGGAGGCGGTTATTGCTTGGAGGGAGAGTCCCCCTCCCTACAGGAAGCCACGACCACGTGAGTCAGCAGGGAAAATGGCCGCAGATCCTGTTTGTCACCCGATGCGGACTTTGCGAACGGAAGCAAAATTTTGCGAATGGTGCTGTTCGTGACCCGAATTGGTCGTGAACAGAAGCATTCGTGACCCGAGGTACCACTGTAAGCAATTTCAGTCATTTTAATTTTTCTTATTTTGTGTGTGTGTACGTGCAAACAAAATCATGCAATATCATCTGATGGTGCCCGGTACCTGAAAAGGTTGCTCACCCTGCAATAGCCTAATGGCACTTGTCATCCAGGAAGGCTTGATGACTTTCAGAAGATTTGCTCCACAGAAAACTGGATGTGAAACTGGGCTCTAGGGAGGACTTTCAGTTTCTTGCTATTGTATCAGCTTCCTTGCTGTACGGTGATATCCTTATTTCAGCTGCTAGATTCCATTGAAGGTATATCACTGTGCTTCTGTTCCGAAGAAAGTGGAATAGATCTAGATAGAAATAATTTTTAAATAATGTGTATTTAAACATTGCAGTGAGATGAGCGGTGACAAATTTGAAATATAAATACATAAATTAAAAAAAAAAAGGCTTTCAGTTTTAATTCTTTTTTGTCCAATAACTTGTAGGCAATGTTCTAAACAGAGCTTCACTCCATTGTAGCATCCATACAATATATCTGTTATAATAATTCTGATTCATAAAGCATAACTGTTTTATGTTCTAGTCACAATAGACTGGTGTTTTATGTTATTTCAGTTTATCACTTTAACATGTATTCTAGAGAGAGTTTTTCTGTGGTGTACAGCAGAATTGTCTGCTTTACAACCAAAACGATAATATAACTTTTAAGCTAGGTTATGTGTTCACATTTAGACTTAAAGCCTTATATGTAAAATATAAGGGGTGGGAGGGGGGTTAGCATATATTTTAGAAGTATATTATGTTCATATAGTGAGGAAAATATATAGAGGCACTGCTGTACAGTGATTTTTCAAGCAAATTTGCTAATGATTTAAAATACCTATTCACTAAAATAGCCATTTTGTTTGTTTGTTTTTCTATACAGGGCCTGGCTTTTACTTTGGAAGAGAGACAGCAGCTTAATATTCATGGATTACTACCTCCCTGTTTTTTCAGTCAAGAAATTCAAGTTTTAATTGAACTGAAAAACTTTGAAAGACAAGCAACCGACTTGGATAGGTGAAGTCCTCAAAGGGCATGCTTATCTATGTCCTTATCCATTCATATACTGTGCGGAGAATTTTTATAGACACCTGAGTTCAAATAGTTACATATTTTTCATGCTAAATAGCTCTCCCTTTCTTTCATTCACAGCCCAGAACTCAAAGTCTATCATCTTAATTTCTAGTTCTCTTCCAGGAACATGTATACAAATATATTGCGCCATGCCTGCTTCCCTGCTTTCACCTCTCATGCCCACTGTAACATTTCATTATCTTTGCTTCACCCTTCACTCCCTTCCCACTTGTCTATCCCAGATTTCCTGCTTTTCTTTTCCTTTTCATTTAAATGGATACTTGTTGCATCCTTTTTTTACTAAAACACAGTAGGTCCAATTCTTTTTTTGAAGCCACAAGGTACGTTTCATCCTCCATCTGCTATTTCTATGTCTTGATAAACTCTGTAGCTCCGTGTGGACCTAAGGCATTAACTGAGGTGGCTGTATTATTATTCGCATCCACTCTTTACCTAATATTTGTTCTTTTTTTAGCCTTGTGTTTTTATAGTTTTTAAAGTTTTTAAATAATAATAATAATAATAATCTGTATATTTTAATGGTTTGTTAGCTTTGTTGTACGCTGCCCAGAGTCACTTGTTTGTGAAATGGGCGGCCATATAAATTTGAGGAATAAATAAATAAAGGTCAAATAAAGGCAGATTTTTAGAAGATACAGCTGTCAGGTTCAGCCCAAGAATCACACCAGACAGTCCAGAAATCAGCTCAGCTTCTTTATTAGCTTGCACCTAATAGACAGAATCTTTTTTTTTTTTTAATGTTTTTTTTTATTTTTACAACAAACACAAAACAAACATGAACAAACAAAAACATAAAAAGGCAT